TTTTTTTTTTTTTTTTGGTCAGTTCAGCAAAAAATATAAGACATTTTTGGTGTGCCGCAGAATTTTTAGTCATGAGTTTACGTGTGCCGTGAGATGGAAAAGGTTGAAAATCGCTGGTCTAGGGTAAGCGAACGTTCTTGGTTAAATGTAGAAAACTCCAGCTTGAAGGAGAAAACAAATGTTGCTTTGTGCTTGTAATGGAGGTTTCCTGGGTAGGTTTTAATAGCGTGGCTTTGTGGGATGACTAACAAGACCAGCCTTAGTTTGGTGAATGACATGGCATTAAGGAAGAAAATACACAGCGATTTTTTTTTTTAAGCTTATGGGGACAGCCCAGCCAGTGTGGCTCAGCGGTTGAGCGTCTACCTGTGAACCAGGAGATCATGGTTCGATTCCCCGTCAGGGCACATGCCCGGGTTGCGGGCTCCATCCCCAGTTGGGGGCGTGCAGGAGGCAGCTGATCAATGACTCTCTCATCATTGATGTTTCTCTCTCTCTCCCTCTCCCTTCCTCTCTCTGAAATCAATAAAAAAACATTTTTTATTTTTTTTTAAAAAAAAAAAAGCTTATGGGGACCACATTTTATCAGGACACAAAAACCTGATTTTGTAAGCGAAGGCTGAGCAAGCCCGCTGTTACTGGGACCATCAGACTTGTCCGTCATGGGCTCTTTGCAAAAGGCCCCAACAGCTTGTCCAACGTGAAGGTTCGCGTTTGTTCTCCGTGCAACAGCCCTGCCCCACGGAGCAGCGGGAGCTGCCCGCCGGTGCGGTTCCAGGTTGCCCCGCGGAGCAGGTGCGCAGCCCGGGGCCTCCGTTCATCCCTCCTTCCCGGCCTTCGCTGGCTGATTGCTCCCCCTCTCCTTCTAGGTATGACTATCGGGAGATGCTGCACAATGCCACTTTCTGTCTGGTTCCTCGTGGTCGCAGGCTTGGATCCTTCAGGTTCCTGGAGGCTCTGCAGGTAAGAGACCCTGACACGTCCCCAGAATCGGGCTGAGGGACGAAGGCTGACTGGGCGGGTTGAACCTTAGCACTTCTCCTGGGATCTAAACAGAATGTGTGATTTGCCTTCAACATCTGAAATCTGTTTTCCTGAGAAAATCTGCAAGATTTTTCTTATGTGGGGGGCAGGAGGAGGAATTACGCCCCTCTTTTGGACATGAGACATGAGAAGATTAAACTGCCTCACCACTGGGGTGGATGGGTTCTTCAGGGACATGACTGCAGACAGGACAGCTCTGACTGCTACCAGGCATCCTAGCTGGGCTCCTCGCAGAGACCCTGCTCTTCTGGAAGCCAGTCTCAAGAGCAATGGAAATGACTTATTAATCATAGTTCCAAAAAGCAAATTGCCTGTTCATCCCCCCTTTCAGTCGTCGCTCGGACCCTCTAGATTGTGAGAGCAGTGCCCGCATTTCCAAGCTCAGCCATTCCGAGGTCCCTGGCTGCAGCTCCAGACCTGTAACCTCAGTCTGCGGAAACCTCACTCGTGTTGAGGCTGCTGTCCACGCTTCCTACCTGGAAGCTGCAGCCGGCCTTCCTTGACCTGGAGAAAGCATGCTCTCAGCCCCCTCCTCCACTCCTTGTCCCCTGGCTGCCGTGGTCTAGTCCCCTCTGCGCCCCGCCCCTTGCCCGAATCTGTGCTTTTGTCACAGTGCTCCCTAACTCCCACCATCCTGCCTTGTCCTCAGACAGCAGAGCTTCCTCCTCTGAGCGTCTTTTCCAGCGCACTGCGTGTTCTGTGAGGCTCAGGGTCACCAATGTTCTTGTACCCGCTCGGGATGTGGGTGGAGCACATTGAGCCCTGATTTGGATTGTGAGTTATTTGGAACCAGAATTTCGCCATTAGCCCGGTGTATTTTGGCTGTTAAGTCACTGTGCAGGTAGTAAATTGGTACAAGGGTGGTTTGGATCCCTCCACACTGAAGGGAACAAAGTTCTGGCTCAGATGTTTGTGAACAAGGGAAAGGTGAACACTCTGTAATAGTTCTGTCCACAAAATGCTTTGTCAGGAAGCCGAGCCCCATTCTACTCTGTTACTCATGACATTTGGGGAAACCACTTGCAAGCCGACTGTGGCAGCTACACTGACGATACCGTTTATAGTCAAGGTGGGTTTTATGCTGAGATTTTGTTGCTGTAAGATTTTGGTGCATCAGTATAACTTCTCCAATGAGGCCGGTTGTCTCCAAGGAAGTAAGGTCAGCCAGACCATGTACACGGATAGAAATGGGGTTTTAGCACTCTAGGGCAAGATATGCAAATATTAAAACCTTGGCTGGATACATAAGACCTACATGTGACTTGATAACTCACGAAAGCTTACTTTCTTCTGGCCTCAGCAGTCCAGGATTCATGCAACGAAAATGTCAGTGATTGAATTTGTACTGATTTCACCCCGTGATTGGAACGGTTCCTGCTGTCGCTTTCCTCACACTCATGAAGTCCCCTTCTTTGCACAGGCTGCCTGTGTCCCTGTGATGCTCAGCAATGGATGGGAGTTGCCATTCTCTGAAGTGATTAATTGGAACCAAGCTGCCGTCATAGGCGATGAAAGATTGTTATTACAGGTAAGGAAGGGGCTGTGGCCTTCAACAGATCAGTGGATTATTGCTGCCCCCATCCAAATGTTCAGAGAAGATGAATCTAAAAGGTCAGCTCTATAAAAGAAGTTTTATCAGGAGAAAATGGCCTGTGTCATGGAGACTGTGAAGTCATTTAATATGGCATTGTGCACTTTCCAACACAGAATCTGCCCAGGTCCAGGGAATATATTAGAAAAAGAACAAGTTACAGGTAACGGATGAGCTCTGATGGTGAGTAGAGGTGTATATCTACTCCCTTCAATATCCAGAATTTTTAGAAATGATATGAGAGGTCTTGTACTATCCTACTGCTTCGTGTGCCTTTCCTCTGTTTTAGTATTTGCCTTCAGTTTACTTTTCAGAAAGAGAGAGGTCTCTAGGGTTGATTTTTATAATTAGTGTTATCATTGCTCAAATGATCCACTCTGTGTACCTGAGTGAGTGCTGTCTTTAAGATAGCTAGTTGAAAGAGCAGCTATTACTAAAAGTGTTTTTTGAAATGCATCTTTGGCTATTTAGATTTTTCAAATTTAATTTTATTGTGGTAAGAACATATAATGTGAAACCTCTCTTAACAAATTTTGACGTGTATAACGCATTACTGTTGACTATAGGAACAGTGTTGTACAGCAGGTCTCTAGTTAAGCAGCTTCTTCTCCTGCTCAACTGAAACTTTATACCCACAAATTAATAACTCCCCGTTTCCTTCCCCCCAGCCCCTGGCAGCCATCAGGCTACTCTTTAACTTGATGAATTTGACTCTTTTAGATATTTCATAGAAGTAGAATCATGTAGTGTTTGTCTTTCTGTGACTGGTTTATTTTACTTAGCATAACATCCTATGTTGTTCTGTATTGCCAGATTAAGATTTAATATTGTTAAACCATCCATATTACCCAGAGCAATCTACAGATTTAATGCAATCCCTATCAAAATCTCAATGGCATCTTTTATAGAAATAGAAAAGCAATTCTAAAATTCATATGGAACCACAAAAGACCCCAGAGAGCCTAATCAATCTTGAGAAAGAGAACAAAGCTGGAGACATCATACTTCTTGATTTCAAAATATATTACAAAGCCACAGGCATCAAAACAGTATGGTACTGGCATAAAGACAGACATACACACCAATGGAACAGAATACAGAGCCCAGAAATAAATCCACATAAATATGGTGAACTAATCTTTTGGGACAAGGGTATCTAATAAAAGTTTGAATTTCTCAAGAGCTACCTGGAAGGGAGATACAATATTCACAGAGAAAATCCGAGGACAGCAATAGTTGGTCATTAAGGATTTATCTATAGCCCCTTTGGGCAATAATATTTACATTCTACATGAATTGCCATGCTCCTTTTTCTAAAATTACAGAATATTTTAATGCTTTTGTTTTGTAGCATTCTGTACTTTATCTTGAACCACCACAGATATGCGTAGAATGATTTTTTTTCAAATGTCCTTGCATTTTTGATATCAGAAAATTGAGTTTCTAACTCTGTCATTGATCCTACTTCGGTGCTGCTAGTCAGTCTGCTAGCTGGCTGGTGAAGTGAGGCAGTACTCTCCCTAAAGCAGTAGGTGAAATATCAGTGAGAGGGCTGTGGATCAGGCAAGCCAAGCTAAACCCAGCTCCCAGAGTATTCCTTCTGCCTGGTCCTCTGGGCCTCCAAAACAAAAGAGGCATTCACGGTCCAGCAGTGAGCGTCCTTCCCACACAGTGACAGCGTGTATCTAAAACACTCATTAAAGGCCAACCCAAAGTGATAAACATAGCTGTTTTTCATGTTGCCTTATTTCTTTTATGATTTTGAAAAATAATGCACATTTATTTAAGGAAATTTGGAAAATGAATGGAATAAAAATATGAGCCATAATTTCTCCATTTATGTGCCAATGTTCCCATGAATTTGATGTGAATACGTTGGGAGTTTGTCTTTGATGTGGAGACCATTGTGGGACACTTAGTTGTTGTTGTCCATTTTCTACCATCTCACCAAAGTTGGTGCATATTTCACCTTCTGAAGCACCTTTTTGGCTTGACCCTGGAGATTGTGTTTTCTATTCCACACCCACACAAGCTTGCTGATATTTTCCCCTCTCATATGTGTCTGTCTGCGCACAGCTGCCTCCATATTGAACAGTGACTACACTGTCATTGACAGTGGTTTTAAAGAGCTGGCAATGGGCCCAAATGTCTGCTCCGGGAAATGTTTTTGTTATGTTACAATTTTTCATTTCTGTTTTAGAACAGCTTGGATGTTTTTATTTGCATATGTTCTCGTCATCCTGTCACCAAGAGAGCTCAGTGTGTCTTTTCTATATCTATTTCGGTAGATCCCGTGTGTTTTGTTACCATACATGACCTTTTATTAAGACTTTGAGTTCTGCAGCTTCCAGAAAAATCTGGCCAAATTGGAATTAATTTATTACTTTTCCATACCTGCCTCTCCGGACGAGCAGATTAATAGCCAATAGCCAAATGCCATTAAAACTTAGAGCTTGGTCTTTTCAATCAATTGGAATTATCTTCCAGAACACGTTGTAGGGTGTGGTCAGACACTTGTATTGTGCACACAAACAAGTAGAATATATTTCGCTGGATGTAGGAACATCAAGATGTGGCTTATATAAGAGGGGAGTGTATTGGTAGGTTAATCTGTGATATTCCCTTTCTCCTCTCATAACCACAGTCTATCCTACTTTCTGGAGACCACATAGGAATAGTTCTCAGCATTTTTCTAATGGGCTGGCTCCTCATGACCATGATGAAACAGTGAAGTCAGTCTATATGACTCTTAAAAATACCCATGACATTTAGAAGAGAGCATGATTATGAAAATTGAGCAGGATAATTTTTTTTCAGGTCTTTCTTTGGCAATCTAGGTAATTTCTCAGTGAGTAAATAAAATAAATTTGCTTTGACTTGCCAGGGATTCATGATATGAATGTTTTTTCTCCCTTCTCCAAGGGTATGTGACTTCCATTTCACCTGGAACTCTGGGTTCAGGCTAATGCTTGCCTGTGGGTTTCTCCTTTACCTGGCACCTCCATGCTTCTTTAGTGTTGGGAATCCACAGACACACTTTGGGGCACAGATTTTCTCTCCTCTTTTGGATGTGGCCCAGACAGCTCATCCTTCTGTTCTTATTATAAAGCAGTTTTACGGCTCCTCTTAAAAGCGATGCTACCACCTTCCCCTCCAGTGGAAATTCAGATGTAGTCTTAGTCACAGTGTCACGGGTAACCTGTTAACGCAGCAAACAGAGCATTCCCGCTTCAGCCCAGGCCCCCATGTCTGTCTGATTAGTCACGCATTAGGGAAGCAAGCATGCAGAAAGAGGTGAGCACAGAAGGGCACTTCCTAATCACAAGGAATTCCCTCTAAGGGTATAGACTCCGTAAATGAAAGAAATCTTAAACTGTAAGTGAAAATAGGAAGCAAGCCCAGGAAACTGACCAGAAAGTATACTTCAGAGCCCCTGACCGAAGGCAGTTCACATGCAGAAACTAAGCAGTTGGCCCAACTTTGAATAGCATCGCCCTTATGTCAACAGTGATCACATCAGTAGTAATTATTGCTATGCTAATTAAGCTTCCCGTGTTCTGGGCACTGGGCTAAGCACTTACATGATCTTCATTACGACCTTATGATGTTAGTATATATCCCCATTAAGTGGAATCTTTGAGACATCAAGTAACTTGTCCAAGGAAGCACAGCTACTAAATGGTGGAGACAAGAATCACTCCTTTTTCTTCTTCTATAACTCCTCTGTCCCTGTGCTTAACCGTTAGCTACACTGCTAGTAAAAATAATGATATACCTTTGGTGGCTTCAGATGGCCACGTTCAATTCAGCTCTTATTTCTTAAATAACTACTCCATAAAAGCCACTCTCCTGCCTTAAAATGTGTAGCAGTATGGACAGGACACGGATCCCTCCTTTAAAATTGTGTAGTGTGGTAGAGAGCAGTGATGACTAAACACATACAAGGTTGGAAAGATTGCGTTAGCTTGGGGTAAGTGCTGGAGCCAAAAGGTAGGTCTGAGGAGCAGAGCAGCTCTCAGGTGAGGTAGGAGGCATGTGCACATAGAATTGACTAACCCCGGCTGCAGATACGCTGGAGAGGCTTAGAGACATTCCCTAAAAAGCCCTTGAGTAGATAATTTGTAGTCCCTGGCAGGGCATGTCTTAAAAGTGCTTGGGGGAGGATGTTTTTCAGCCTTTCCCTAGGGCCTGCAGCTCCTTCTCTGTAAACTTTGGTTGTCCCTGTGCAAGATCACAGATTTGTGGGACTCACAGGAGAAAACAGCAATTGCTACTATAAGAACATCCTAGCAACTGATAACCTGCTTCTGAATCTTAGAGAACTGTAACTTTCATTCATTAAAGGTCATTATTAAAGCTGATGCCCAGTAAGTGCTGTTTTACCCGACACCTCTTCAGGGCATTTTAAACTAGAGGTTGGCGATTTGTAGAGCTCCGTGTGCTGGAAGCTGAATGCTATAAAGAACAAAAGCCCAAGTGGGATATTCGATCCAATGGCATCTCGTTGTTTTCCACTGATAGTTACTGTGTGTTCACCTTGTGTTACAGATCCCTTCTACAATCAGGTCTATTCATCAGGATAAAATCCTAGCACTTAGACAGCAGACACAATTCTTGTGGGAGGCCTATTTTTCTTCAGTTGAGAAGATTGTATTAACTACACTAGAGGTAAGTGGGACCACTTGGCTCTCTCATGAATAATGGTCCTTTATATGCTTCTCTTGGCCTTCTCTTTTGCTATTGGTGATGTGTAATTGGTCAGATGGGGCAAAACCGAATTTTCTGTGCTTGGATATGACGGTTAACTCTTTTTTTGCCTGCTCTGCCATGACCAAGCAAAGAACTCCATTTCTGACAAACTCGGGAAAACTGACATGAGGAGAATTACACCCCTGACACAGAGATTGGTTCTGTCTTACCTCATTTCAGGGATATGTGGCTAATGACTGTCTTCCTGTCATTCATATTTAATGGCATCCTTTCAAGACCCAGTTCTGTAGCTCTTTCAGTGACCAAGTCGAGGGAAATCTACTACCATTCTAAAAATATGACTCATTTCCTGGCCACCATAGTCCCATGGCATCGGGGCACAGCAAAATTAATTCTCAAGACACGTACAACCCAACCAGCATTGATGTTGCGAAGATACGTTAAGAAGAAAATCAGGATTACACCCGTCTGGCTCCGAAAGTGTTAAACATGAAATCAGAACTCTTGTCGGCAGATGGGTACCCATCGTCAAGTTGCTTTTTTTAAGACAGAAGGAAGAAAGGAAGGGGAAGCATGGGGATGATTAAAACCTTTGGAAATAGAGCAGGTGGAGATGGCCTGAGGCTACACCAAAGTAGCACAGAGCTAAGAAAAGATTTAGGAAAGTGCACACTCAGAGCTACAGGCGCGCAGGAAGGAGAGCAGAGGTGCTGCGGGGAGGCACAGCGTGCAGGTGATTCTGAGGCGTCTGCACAGTGCGCCCGGGCATCTGTGGCCTCACTTTTGGAGTATTTACTTCGGAAAAGTGATTCCTGCTCCCAGAGCGGGACTCTGGGGCACACACTGAGAAGTCCGAGTGATGCCAGGAAAGCAGAAGTCACCCTGTTTTGCCCACGTCACCACTTTGTCGCCATGCTCGGCATCAGAGCCTGTGCTGGCCCTGCCCCAGGCGCGGGGGGGCATTTACTTGCTGCCCCAAGTCTAGCCCGGGCTCCTGCGCTCCCCGGGGGACCCGCTCTAGTCAGCGTCCTCTGGTGAACGATTCTACCCTGAAACAAGTGCAAAGGGCTGTTCAGGACCCAGGCTCACCCTCCAGGGAGACAGGTCAGAATGGCTTCAACAGGCTTCCTTCCTGCAGCGAACTTCTCTTACCCCCACGGCGCGCCCTGCAGTTAAAATGGGTGGGGTCTTCTCCTGTCCATAGCAGCAGGTCTGAATATGTGATTTTCTTTTCTTGAATTTTGCTCTCCACACAAGCCCCTTCCTAGGAATAAGGGACGGTGAATATCATTCTCTTCTCTTTCCTTTTGGAATAAGATGCCTTTTTATCAAAGAAGTGCATGTTTATTTTAGAAAATAATGGAAAATGCTCAAAGCATAAAAATAAAATAATCTACCCATGTGAAGTCACTGTTGACATATATACACATAAACACGTATATTAGCTTTTTCTATGCAAGTTTACAAATGTGCTGTCATCTTTAATTTAAAAAGGAGTCTTTCTTACTCCATGATATTTTTTCAGCTGAATAATGTATTGTTAATATTTTCTCATTTTATTACATTATTCTGTAATTATTTTAGTGACTGTATAATACTCCATTTATAATATCATTCAATTTATTTAATGAATCCCCAGTTTGAAGATAATACCATTGTTTTTGGCTTTTTATTATTATATACATCATTAAAGTAAATAGCCTTAGCACAAAATTGCTGAGCAGGTTCAAGATTACTTCCTTAGGATATAAATTTCCTGAGTTCAAAGACCTGGTCCAAAGAGTACGCAAAATGTTAAGATTTCTAATTTGAATTATCAATTTTTCTATAATAGAATTGAACTAATTTATATTCCCTCCAGCTTATATGAGAGAACCTGTATTGATCTTTAGTTTTTTTCACTTTCACCAATATTTAGTGTTTTTTACTTTCACCAGTATCGTTAAAAATGATGAATTATTATTGTCTTAATTTATATTTCTTAGGATGAATATTTTTCATATATTTCTTGCTCAGGAAACTCACCAAAAAAAAGAAATAGCCACAACGTTGTCCCACTTTTTCGCATTAATTTTTAAGAGCTTATTATATTAAAAATATTAACCCTTTGACTGTTGTGTTGCAAATATCTTTCCCCAATTTCTAGTATGCCTTTCTATTTTGTTTATGATTGGACAATCTTTTCATCTGTGACTTTTCCATTTGCTATGGTTAGAAAGAAGTTTTTGACCACAATTCTGTTTATATACACAGAGATATTCACTTATGTTTTTCTAGTACTTTCATGGTTAAGTTTTTACCTTTAGCTGTTTAATCCAATTTACTTTTACATATGATCTGTGTTGAAAAGCTAACCTTTTTTTTTTTTTGGACAAATTGTTGTGTAGTTGTCCCAATATATTTTGTTGGTGTTCTCACATGCCACTCTTATGCATCTTTGGTTCTGTTTCTAGGCTTTTAATTTTGCCCTATTAGTTATCCACTCTAATACACCCAGATCACATGTTCTCATTTTTTTTTCACTCTGTATGTCATCCTTTGGTGTGAGCCTATATTTATTTAACTGATCTGCTTTTGTTGACTATTAATGCTGTTTCTAATTATTTATTTTTTTATAGATAGAGATCCTTTATTCAAGCAATGACTTTCTACATGTGTATTAGACTACATACATCTCTATTTCCTTAGTATGGCATCCTTGAAGTGGGATTACTCAACCGAAGAGTCTAGGCATTTCTAAGGTCATGATCTGTATTGCCAAATTACTCTTCAATCTAGACTCTCACAGCTGCCTGGGGGAGACCCTCTCTTGCTGCATGCTTGTCAGCTTTAAGGAGCATAATTAAAACACATACACACACACAACTTCGCTAATTTGCCAGATGAAAGATGGTATCTCATTAATTACATTTCTTTTGAGTATGGTTTATTGCATAGATCTGGTCTCTTGCCTATTAAGTTAGCAGGGCTCAATTATCCTGTAATAACAGTTGGATGTGTGATATTCATCAGAATAGGAACTTATGTCAAGCTGTTTTCATCTCTGTGCCTGGAAAATGCCTTCTTCCCCTTGGATTTAAGCCATGTAGTTCTTTAGCAACACAGTTGTTTTGAAAACACTGCAAACCATATACTTATTCAAATTTATAGCAGCTGTCAAATCTCCTCATATAGTTTCAAGATTAGATTGTAACAGTTTGACCCCTTAACTGAATTGCATGAGCAATACCATCCAGTTTCCCTTTTTAATTCAGGACTCAGATAACCCAGAATCCAATGTAAACAGAAAAGCAGAGAAACTGGCAGAAAATGCTATCCACATACACAAGTAAACAAAGCCAATATGTTTGTAAGAGTGATTTTAAAATGCCCACTTGGCTTAGAATGTGGATAATGTAAGTCATTTGGTCCCTCTTGTAGCTCCTAAGGTCTGAGGGTAATTCAGAGTCACCCATGGACAACAGACATTTGAGGAACCCTGGCTTCAGGCTGTTCTGCACTCAGAGCCTCCCTTGCCTACTGTATTCTAGACCATGAGAAGAGATGACCTAGGGTTAGAGATCATGAGCCTTAGAGTCGCACATAGTGCTCAGATACAGTTGAAAACAGGACCCCCATTCTCTCCAATGCCAAGGTCAGGTTGTTAGTACGTTCTATTGTGCTACACTCAGTCCTATTTGGGATTCAACATAGTGTTGTATTTCCAGTGTCACTGAAGTTTCTTTATCCTGCATCTTGAAATTAAGGAGCTATTTAATAAGAGCTAAGCTTTTTGGAGCTGAGTTTTTCTGTGTGTGCGTGTGCAAAGTGACAAGTAATGATGGGGACAATAATAAAATACTGTCAAGATAGCATCCCTTCCTGGATTTCAGTATTTGTCAGAATACTTCGCAAAAGTTACCTGGCCCAGAGGACTGAACCATAGGAGCCCAGTCAGAACCAGGGTGAGCAAAAGAAAAGTGTATTGATTGTAATAACAGGCAAACAGCTAATGGTAGATGGAAGGCACGTCTTTGGTGGTTTTATGAAGTCTTCACCCTCCAGTTTTCTCTCCAGTTCTCTGACCATGCACATTTAAACCATAGTCTGCTGATGCTGTTGTACAGTGAAATTTTAAAATCAATGAGATAATGGAAGTAGGAGATTGCTTTGGCTTGGAGAGAGGTGACATATGGTGGCACTGTGTGTATTAGGTAACCTTGCACTGGTCAGAAGACCATGCCAGGGCCACACAGGATGACTAACCTGTAATCAGTGGTCCATTATTTTTTTTTTAAATGGAGCAGAAAAAAGAAAAATAAGAAGGCTGTCATTCTTCCCTTTGAATTCACCTTAATAGGAAGCATTATTCTTATTAAAGGTGCCATTTGGGACTGTAATGAAAAAAAAAAATTATATTATGTGTGTGTATCTGTTTGTGTGGATGTATGTATTGATTTCCTTTATAGCCAAAGTAGTGTCAGACCTCTAAATGGAATGTCATCTTTCACAGCAATAGAAATGGGCACTAAGAATCCTGAAAGGATCCTGGGAGCCGTCCAGGGTAGCTATAGGGAGAATTGGACATTAGGAGAGGGCCAGAATGACCTCTCTATTTGGTGAAAGGAGATCCATATTCTTTCAAACTTTTGAGAAGGCAAGTTGATAGAAACCTTTTAGAAAGACATCTGGCAGTGATATGAACCAGCCTTGAAAGTAAGTGTTCATACCCCTCGACAAAGTCTTAAAGAATCAGTCCTAACTGTGGAAAACTTTAATTCATAAATGTGTTCATTGCTTTGTATAGGAAAAAAATCGCACTGTTGTTGGTCATTTAGAAGTAAACCAGGAATACTGTTAGTAATATGGAAAGATGTCTATAATAAATAATACCTATGATATTATACTGAGTAAAAATGGAAAAAATCTATGCCTAGAAAATGAATACAGGAGTGTGATTTTTTTATTAATGGTAAAAAAAATCAAGTCTTAAGTATTAAAACTTATGCAGTTTTTCCTGACAATTCTGAGAGCTTGTTACAATTGATGTAATATTTTATTGTTTTATTACAAATGAGGAAAGTGAGACATAAAGGTGGCCACTTGCTTGACCCAGGTTAAACTGAACATTTGCTATTGCTTTTGTACCCTTGCTGATATCTTCCTGTCAAGAGCCATTTGAAAAGAATATAACATGCTTATTGGTATTTCAGAAGTACTATAACTTACTGTATCCTTGAATTAAAAAGATAACAATGTTGTAATACTCAACCAAAAAAAAAAAAAGTCTATGACAGTGGGTAGCATCCCACCCAGAGACCTGAAGTGAGTGGTGATCCATTTTGTGACACCTCTGAGTTCCATGTCATTTATATATAGGTCAGATTTATGATGCTATCTATTCTCAATTTGCTCTGTGTCTTGATATCCAAACTTGTTTAAGTGACCACATGCTGGAAGGTACATAAATTGGGAAGGCAGAAAAGGGGAGAAATATTAAAAACTATAAAAGAAACTAAATAGACAGTAGATTTGGGCAAATAAAAAAATCTGGAATGAATATTATACAAAGTGAAATTACTAGCCATGTAAAAACCCTCACAACCATGGCATTTTCTCATAATTAATGCCCAGACAATAGCATTTGAACATATCTCTGCTACAGCACAGAGTAAACATTAATATTTTATCTAGATTCCTGAAATCTCCACCACATTAGAAACCTCTACCCAGCCATATAAAATGAGCAATTTTGATCTGAGGGAAAGCAAAAATGTAGAAGTCATTGAACTAAGATATTTGAGTTCTAAATTTCCTCTTTGCTCCCTCTTTTCTTTCTCATTAAGAAATATAAACATAATAAGATTTGCAAAGATAAATGTAGCTCACTTTATTACTTGTCCAGTCACCATGTGGGATAAGATGAGGGTGTTAATAACCTTACAAATAATAAAACTCCGTTTAAAATGGTCTGTACTTAAAGATCACATTGCATTAAGTGGGGAGCTGGAAAATGATGATGTAGGTTTGAAATCTCTTGAGACGTATGGCAGGCTTTTTCTTTTTTTTTAAGTAGAAAAAATAAAACATTGCTGAAAACATGAAATTCTGTATCAAGTTAATTATTTGCCAAATCATATTTTAATGAGTGGTTGGAATAATTACAAGAGTTTGAAAGTCACAGAGACAAATCTGTAAAGCGGATTAATCACATTCGTCTGACAAATGATCCAGGATGGGAGAATGCTTAACTCTAAATGGAGAATTTAATGATCTGCAAGGTCCCGAAGTCCAAAGAAACTAATGAACTAGCTTGGCTATTATTAGTCTTCATATGCCATGGCCCTTGTCCTATTATGTAGGATGTTTTAAATAATTGTTAACTCACTACTTTTTGAGATGAAATATAGGAAAACTTCAGCTACCCAGGACCCCAAAGTCCAACAGTTGACTTTGAAAGGAAAATGAAATATGACAAACAAATGAATCTGTCTCCTGAATTAGACCCACAGGTCAAAACCTCCACAGCTTCTAGAATGTGCTGTACCTTCAATATGCTTTCAGCTACGTCTTCCCATGGTCTGCATTGACATCTCTGTGCACTGGAACAAATCTTCCTGGTGTGGATGCAGACCCACTGCTAGATGCTCAACCATCAAGGAAACCATCCCACACACTGTGTTTTGAAATGAGCATGGACTTCTTCTTACAGAAAGACAATGTAGTATTTATGGTTAAGCTGCAGTTTTAGTTAGGAAATTTGATCAGCCATAACTCATCTCTCTCTCTCTCTCTCTCTCTCCCATTGCTCAGCCACTCTCTTGGTGTTTCAGACACTTTTATCAGTGACGCATTGGAGGGTTGAGTCTCTACGTTGAGGGTCTTCATCCCTCCAGTAGGATTGAGCATGGTCCTTATCAAATGCCATCAGGGTCTCCTCCTCACCATGTGCTATGTTTTTGTTTTCTAGATTATTCAGGACAGAATATTCAAGCACATATCACGTAACAGTTTAATATGGAACAAACATCCTGGAGGATTGTTCGTCCTACCACAGTATTCATCTTATCTGGGAGATTTTCCTTACTACTATGCTAATCTAGGTAAGTGAGTTCCTTCCAGGGAGCGACCCTTGTGTAGCCTCCAGGCGTCGTCCAGAATTAAAGGCCCTTGATTTCTCTGTTCTACAACAGAGCCTTCCTAACAGCCCGCCTTGGAGACTGCTGAGCGAGCCCTGTCATACATGGTACATCAAGGTCAAGAATCATAAATCCTGTAGAGCAGTGCAAAATGAAAAAAATAAAATAAACATCTTTCTTATCTGAGCAGCTACACTTTATATTTAGTAGAGTCATTTCTTTTCGAATCCCAAATTATGGATCATTTTGAACGTTACAGTGGGTTAGCTGTAATCTTAACTCTCATCATACATAAAATGGAGCTAGAAGATCTCACCCTAATATTTTTTCACAATCCTAACTTCTCTATCTCATAGCAAAGAAAAACGGAATTAATAAAGGGGAAGGAGAAAGATTTAAGAATATCTGACAAGGGAGAAATGTATCACTCATTCAACATTTATTATGTTCCTCTTACATGCTACGTTCATGCAGTGCTAGGTGATAGAAGAAAAAGTCAAGCGAGATACAATCTCTGCTCTCTGCTCTCAAGCAGCTTTTAGTTTCATATTAATGGGGCAAAAGGAAATGGGCGGAGGGAGAAAGGTCTACAAATTGTTCCCATTATTGCCATAGATATAATTTGTATTTCGGGCCCCAGTTGCTCTAGTGTTAGTACCGTCTTGGGCATTTCCTATCATTCACGGTTCCAAATTTGAGAAACCCTGGGATAGGAAAGCATCTTTCAAGTAGATGGGGCGAAAAGACTCTCAGATGTTTTACCCAGTGCCGACATTCTCTAATAACTACCTCACCCTTTTTTGAGTTGTACATATTTAGCTGATAACTTACAAAAAGGTGTGGTCTTATGGATCAACCGCTGACAACCCCTTAGTCCAAAGCAGACATGTTATGGAGACCACATCAAAGTCAGTGAGTGTCCACACTGGGGAATGTGTTTAGAATTTAGTCATTTTCAGATTAAGGTAGTCCTTGGTAAAACGTCTACGTATTTCTTGTAGAGCATTAATATCTTCATTTGGAGTGAGCACATTAGAAGTGTGTAAACAATGCTTCTGAAGCTGTTAGTGAAAAACCCCAAAGCGGTGACTTGTCCTCGCTGTTAAAAAGCGAACCCCTCCATCGTATTTATTCTTCTTACTTGGCAATACCTTGAATGTGTATCTTGATAGTGGGGAAGTTAGCTTCTTTCTAACAGCAATTAAAGTCGTAATTGGATGATATAATGTTCTCTACAGGCATTTGTATGATCCTTTAATATACATAGTCTGATTCCTACCTTTATCCCGGCAACATTAAAGCTTAACTTGGATGTCCCCGCACTCTTTTGTTCACATTTAAGCTACTAAAATGTGAAATCAGTGGGTCTAAACTTATGCAGTTTAGATACCTTTCTACCCAGGGCTTCGGAGCACACAGTTGGCCGAGGTCTGGGTCACATACTTTTCTCTCAGCTCTGTCACTGCTACACGAATGGGATTCTTGGGAGTATAGAGGCTTCCACTTCACAGTAATGTGGTGATAGCTGCTACCAAAGACTGATCACGAATGATTTGCTTGGTCCTGTTCTAGGTGCTTTGTATGCATTTAATTGAATTCTTATAACAGCCCCATAGGTTTGATACTATTATTACCAACCCCATTTCACAGCTTTGGAAGCATGGAGGGTTAAGTAATTTTTACAAGATCCCACCACCGGTAAGAGGTGTTCAAACTTTAGTCAGGCTCTGGATGCTGTTCTTTTAACTTTTACCACTTGCTAGTTATTATTTGAAATAGTACTGATGAGGCAAAAAAACCCCAACTACATAATTACAAATAAGACACATGCAAATGCCCTGGGAGAAAGAGCACATTTACTTACACGCATATTAAGATGTAAGTGACGAGGGAAGACCCTTTCTTGAGCTGAGAATGGGGGGGGTGTGATTAGACTCGGGGTGCCTACAAAGCAGAAAGAAGATCGAAGATGCATCCCCGAGGGAGGAAAAGGGCCTCAAAGGAAGAACCTGGAAATGGACATGGAGCTGTAAATTATCCAGGTCTCCGGACTCAGGCCGCAGTGAGCCAGCAGCTCTTCACCTTGTTTCTGTTCTGTCAGGACCTGAGAGGCGAAGGGAAAATACGCTTGAAGGCGCGTCAGCTGCAGGGCCAGGCAGCGGAGCAGGAGGGGTGATTTTGTGTCTCGTTTTCAGCGCTTCATTAGGCTCCTCTCCCCTTTCTGTTTCAGGTTTAAAGCCCCCCTCCAAATTCACCGCGGTCATCCACGCAGTGACCCCCCTCGTCTCTCAGTCCCAGCCAGTGTTGAAACTCCTCATGGCCGCAGCCAAATCCCAGTACTGTGCCCAGGTGAGCGGGGCTAACCGGCGGCCTGCTCCCGGGGCTCACTGATGCCATGTCCTGTCACTCCCCTTTCATTTGTCACGCCTTGTTATGTCCTTTCATCCGCCTAGAGGTTCTTGGAAGTGAGATCTGGCACAGGTAACGGGCGGGTTGCAAAGAGATCTTTGCCCTGGGGCAAGGTTAATATATATA